ATTGCCAAGTCATAGAAGAAGCCCAAGTGCCCATCAACCCATGAATGGATTAATAAATTGTGGTATTTGTATACCATGGAATATTATGCAGCCTTAAAAAAGATGGAGACTTTTACCTCTTTTATGTTTACATGGATGGAGCTGGAACATATTCTTGTTAGTAAAGTAACTCAAGAATGGAAGAAAAAGTATCTCATGTACTCAGTTCTATTATGAAACCAATATATAATCACCCACATTTTGATATGAAAGATAAAATACAACTATAGCCCAGGATGAATAAGAGAAGAGGAGGGAGAGGGGAGGGGTGTGGGGAGGTTGGATATGGAGGGAGGGTAAACAGTGGGACCACACCTATGGTGCATATTGCAAGGGTACATGGCAGATCTATTAAGTGTAGGGTATAAAGGTCTTAACACAATAATTAAGTGAGTGAGGTGAAAGCTATGTTAACCAGTTTGATGTAAGCATTCCAAAGCATATAAAATCAGCACATTGTACCCCATAAATGGATTAATGTACACAGTTATGATTTAATTTAAAAAAGCCTATGTTACTATAAACTCATGAATATATGTGATGGGTTTCAGTTCTTTGCAGTTATTACTGTTACCTTTTTTAGTAGGACCCTGTTGGGGGGCCTAACAGCCTCACACAAACACTTTCCCCCTCCCCCTCTTCTTCTCCTCCTAAAACAGAGACACAAAGGATCTGGCTAGCCCTGCCCCCAGAAGTTCAAGGCCCAAAAGACCCTAACCTGACTGGCAACCTGTGAAATGTGCCCACCCCTCACAGGTCCTCCTGCTGTGGTCTTGTCTCTGGACACAGTTGTTTACACCTTTCAGACTCTAGCAGTTTTTGATAGCTCCTTGTTATCTGATATTTTGAACAATACTGTCCCAGATCTGAAACCAACCATTTCTTTTTTTTGTTGTTTGTTTGTTTGTTTTTGTTGAGACAGAGTCTCACTTTATCACCCTTGGTAGAGTGTGGTGGTGTCACACAGCTCACAGCAACCTCCAACTCCCAGGCTTAGGCAATTCACCTGCCTCAGCCTCCCAGGTAGCTGGGACCACAGGTGTCCCCCACAACACCTGGCTATTTTTTGTTGCAGTTTGGCTGGGGGCTGGGTTTGAACTCACCACCCTTGGTATATGGGGCTGGTGCCCTGTTTATTTGTTTTTTGAGACAGAGTCTCTCACTATGTCACCCTCAATAGAGTGCCATGCCATCACAGCTCATAGCAACCTCCAACTCCTGGGCTTAAGTGATTCTCTTGCCTCAGCCTCCCAAGTAGCTGGGACTACAGGCACTTGCTGCAGCGCCCAGCTATTTTTGGTTGTAGTTGTCATTGTTGTTTGTTGGGCCCTAGCTGCTGAACTATAGATGCCAAGCCACATTATTCCTTTTACTTCTGGCATAAAGTATTGGTATCAAAGTCAGATGATAATCTTAATTCTTCTACTTATAAGTCATGTGGGTTTTTTTTTCCTTGATGACCAAAGAATTTTTTTTCATTAAAGTCCAACAATTTTTTTAGAATGTGTCTTGATGGTGGTTGTTATGGGTATTTCCAGGCACTTGGTATGTTCTTTTCATAGGTAGTTTCCAGGCTTTTTTTTTTTTTTAGGAAAGCTTTTCTTTTAGACAGCTTTATTGAGATATATTCAATACACAATATGCTGCATGTACTTAAAGTATAAAATTTAAGTTTTGACATACATACAAATCTGTGAAACCATCACCACAATCAAGATTTTCAATCTGTCCAACATCTCTCAAAATTTCCTTTTTCCCCTAAGTAATCCCTCTTTCTAGCCTCCCATATCCCCAGCAACCACTGATCTGCTCCATAGACTATTTTTTGTTTTGTATAAATGGAATGACATATGTACTCTTTTGTCTGGCTTTTTTCAGCATAATTATTCTGAGGTTCATCTGTGTTGTTGGATGTATCAATAGTTCATTCCTTTTTATTGCTGAGAGGTATTCTGTTCTATGGATAGATTGTAGTTCAGCGGTATCTAGCCTCCATGGGCCACATGCTGATTTTGTGAGGACTTTTCTTGCCTGACTTTTCTTGTGGATTCTCATCTTCTCATTTAAAAAAAAAATTTGGCCTGGTTGTTCCCTATTATCTTATTAGTTCTTTAATGCTTGTAAGAAGATTTTTTAAAAAATGTATTTTATTAAGCTTCCTTCATTGTCTTCACAGGCAGAGTTGCCTGGTCTACCATTGCCAAAAGTAGATTTTTTTTTCCTCTTATTTTTAGTTGAACATAATAATTGTACATATTTATGGGATACAGGGTGATATCTTAATCTCTGTATACAATGTAATGATCAAATCAGGGTAATTAGCATATCCATCACCTCAAGCATTTATCATTTCTTTGTGTTAGGAACCTGAAAAATCCTCTCTCCACCTCTTAAAAAATATTTTATACAATAAATTATTTTTGACTACGTTCACCCTATAGTGCTATCTAGCCATAATTTTGTGTCTATTAACCAGCCTCTCCCTGTCCTTCTTTCCCCCTAGCCTTTCCAAACTCTAATAACAACAGTTCTACCCCCAAAAGTAGATTTTTTTTTTATATCTTATGTGATTTAGTTTTGTGTGAGACATATTTATATATATAAAAAGAAAACTTACATCTGGTAGCTAAATAATGTAGAGAAAAAGTCTAAGATGATATAAGGAACTAGGTAAGATTCTTTTTGTTTAGTGTACTTAGGTATAACAACAACTGCCGTTTATAAGTTCCTATGTACCACTTATTCTAAGTGTTCTGTGCATTTTTCTGATGTAATTCAGCCTGTTAAGTATAAGCATTACTATCTTACCTCTTTTACAAATGAAGAAATCAAGGCTCAGAGATGTCAGTGAGTCTGTCCACATTGTATAGTGTAGCATTTAGGGGGATTGTCAAAGATGTGTGACTCTACATTTATTAAAGAATTTTCTTACATTAATATCTACTACCCTCATGTCTGGTCTCCAGAGTATATTCTTCCCACTTTAAGTCTCTGGCTGACTCCAGATAGTGATTCAGTAGACAGAACACAGCATCACCTTTGAAGTATTCTTGCCAGAAAATACTGACCCTAAATTTCATGAAGCTTTTAGGCATAACCAGTTTATGAGAAGTATAGGGAAATAGGCTGAGGTGGGTGGATTGCTTGAGCTGAGGGGTTTGAGACCAGCCTGAGCAATAGTGACACCCCCTCTCTACTAAAAATAGAAAAACTAGCCAGCCAGGCAGTATGGCCAGCACCTGTAGTCCCAGCTACTTGGGAAGCTGAGGCAAGAGGATATCTTGAGCCAAAGAGTTTGAGGCTGCTGTGAGCTATGACAGCATGGTACTCTACCCAGGGTGACTCAAAAAATAAAAATAAAAAAATAAGAAATATAGGGAATTGGAAAGTATGTTAAATGATAAAGAATATAATAAAATCCAAAATATTGGTAATTTTATGAGACCTAAGGCCTATTTCTTCAACAAACAGCATATGAAGAAAAAAACAGATGTAAGATTGTTACAGATTAAAAGAGACTTAAGAAGAGATAACCAAATAGTATATAGGGACCTGATTTGAAAAAAGAATCATAAGAGGACATTTTTAACACATGTGAGAGAAATTGAACACAGGCTAGATAGTAAATGATATTAAGGCATTACTATTAATTTTACTGGATATGATAATGGTATTGAGGTCATGTTTAAAAAGTTTGTGTTAGAAATGTTACTAAAATATATGTGGGTGAGGGAAAAATAAAAATGAAAGAATAGGGGTAATCGTTGAAGTGGGGTTGATGAATACAGGGTTCCTTATACTCTTTCTCTATTTTTGGATATTTTTGAAAATTTCCCTAAAGTTAAAAATAAAATCAGTGAAAAGGTGGTAGCAGCTGAAATTGGATGCTATTTTCAAAAAAAGAACTTTATATTAAAAAAAAATGAGGAGTTTTATGCAGTGGGTAATGGAGTTATTGAAAGACCAAAATTTGAAGAAGGTGTCAAACAACAGAAATGGCAGAATTTGGGGATTTGTAAAATATGAGCTAGAAATGAGTTATTAGTAACTAGTAAATTGCTTAGATGGATTTCACTATCTGAAGCAGGTATATGAGGGCAGAAGGGTACTTTAGAAGGAACCTGAATTGGCAGCCAGAAGGCCTATTTCACATCAATTCTGGGAAGGTCATTTCACCTTTCTGCACCTTACTTGTTCATTGTACCTAATGGATAGTTGCAACTCTCCCTACACTCTTTCATGCCACCTATGAAGAGCTAGAGATTTTGGATTAAACAGTTTCCAAGGTCCCCTCAATCTCTAAAATTCCATGATCCTAATGTGATTTTGCTTCTGGAAAGAAGGAATTATGTTTCTATATCAAAGAAACCAAGGAATTATTTTTCCTATAGAATGGCAGCATCCCAATAATAAGAGCAAATGATAATAGAGTAGATGGAATACAAACTTTTTTTGGTGCCAAATAGTATTCCTTGTTGCTAGCTTCTCATTTACTAAGAATAAAGACCACCTGAGAAAGCAGTACTCCATTCATCCTTAGAACCCAGTGAATTATTAAATATGCCTGCAACTGTGAGTTAGGCACAGTTCTTTTAGATTTGGGGGAAACAGCTTCCAAGAGGTAACAGTTTATTAGTGTCACATCATAGAGTTAAGACATAACACATTCTCACATCATAGAGTTAAGACATAATTTTTCTTCTCTTCATCGTGTATATGTGTGTATATAGAATCCCATAATTTATTTCAGGAAGAGAACATTATATGATAGGTTTATTCAAATCATTCTTACAATCAGCTCTCTACTATGTCATAAAGTTGTGACACAGGAATGGCCTAAATTTCCCAGCAAGAGAAGGGGGTTCTTTTAAATATAATTTCATTTAACTCCGATTGTACTTTTTTCTTTTTTCATTTAGGTGACTTATTTTATTTTTTATTGCCATTCTCTACTTCTTCAGATTCTACAAAAGAAACTATGCTTCCAGCAGCCTCCAAAGCCCAGGAGTCTACTGAATCATCAGAGAAAGTCGTGACTCAAAAACAGGTAAACTTTAAATATTTTAGGCTGATGTTTCTCAAAATATGTGCCAAAACCGCTACGTATACAAATGGGGAAAATCTAACTTTGGAAGGATTCTTCAGTGAAATTATTTTGGGAAATTCTGGGTTAAAGACTATTAAATGATTTCATCATTCTAAAACTTCTCAATATTGTCAGTATCCTAAAGTCTATAATACTTCCTACTTATTTAATAAGCTAGATTGATGAACTTTTTTTTTTTTGAGATAGAGTCTTATTATGTCACCCCCAGTAGAGTGCTGTAGTGTCATAGCTCACAGCAACCTCAAACTCTTGGGCTTAAGTTATTCTCTGCCTCAGCTTCCCAAGTAGCTGGGACTACAGGTGCCCGCCACAGCACTTGGTTATTTTTTTGTTGTAGTTGTTGTTATTTAGCAGGCCCAGGCCGGGTTCGAACCCACCAGCCCCAGTGTTTTTGGCCAGCACCCTAACCGCTGAGCTATGGGTACCGAGCCTGATGAACATTTCATTAGACTAGTGTACTGCAGTGCATGTTTTGGAAAATACCATTCCCAGATATTTTCAGAATCTATAAACAGTTACTTTATTCTTTCTCTTAAAATATAAGATGTATCAGGGAATAATATGTATAATTTGATCATTCAGAAAATATGTTACCCTATTATATACAAATCATTTTGTTTTTATGAATTACAGTAGATAGCTGCTAAGTCACCCACACAAAACTTAGGGCTTCTAAACAGACATCAGTGATAATTTTAGTTCTCTGTCTACCATGTCAAGGTGGGGAACCTGCATCTTTGGGGCCACATGTGGCCCTCTGTATCTTTTTTTTTTTCGGTCAGAGCTGGGTTTGAACCCACCACCTCTGGCATATGGGGCCAGCACCCTACTCCTTGAGCCACAGGCTCCACCCGTCTTCTGTATCCTTGAATATGGCCTTTGGACTGAATCCACATTTTGTAAATAAGTCCTTTTAATAAAGGGATTTGTTCTGTGAAGTTAGGATTTGGTGCAGCGGCTGCACTTAGGAATCTGGAAGGCCACTTGTAGCCTTGAGGCTGCAGGTTTCCCACCCCAAGGTAAATGAGGGGAAAGTTATGAGGGGGAGAAGAAGTATAGAAAAAAAGATGGAGAAATAAGTCAGCAGTCCAAAGGAAGATTTATTTGGCTGAGAATCATAGTGCTATCAAAGAATCATCAGTGAACGAAAGCAAGACTCCTGTCTCTACCAAAAATAAAAAAAATTAGTGGTGTTATTCCTTCTCAACTTCTTGGGAAACTGAAGCAGGATGATTGCTTGAGCCCAAGAGTTTGAGGTTGCAGTGAGCTATGATGATACCCCTGCACTCTAGCTGGGATGACAGAGCAAGACTCTGTCTCAAAAAAAACCAAAAAAAGAATCATCAGGGTTATTTGTCTTTTGTATTGATAAATTCTTTACTATATGAGGGACATTTGGATGTGGAGAATAATACTTTTATTTGTGCTTTGTCTATTATCTAAATTATTGATCTTTAAACTATTATACTAGTTATATACTATATAACTAATAAACTTATTTATTGTACATATTACATTTTTAAAGCATTTAAATGTTGAAAGTTTACTCAGATAACCTTTTCACAAATATGCTTTAAACTATCAAAAGTGTCCAAAGCGGCTCAGCACCTGTAGCTCAGTGGCTAGGGCGCCAGCCACATACACCAGAGCTGGAGGGTTCGAATCCAGCCCTGGCTCGCCAAACAACAATGGCAACTACAAACAAAAAATAGCTGGGTGTTGTGATGGGCACCTGTAATCCCAGCTACTTGGTGGGCTGAGGCAAGAGAATCACTTATGCCCAAGAGTTTGAGGTTGCTGTGAGCTGTGATGCCGGAGCATTCTTCCAAGGGCGACAAAGTTAGACTCTTGTCTCAAAACAAAACAAAACAAAACAAAAACATACACACACACATAAAAATGTCCAAAGCAATCACACGGTGATTTTAAAATTGATAATTGTACTTACATTAAAAATGGATTTAGGCTAGGTGCAGTGGCTTATGCCTATAATCCTAGCACTTTGGGAGGTCGAGGCAAGAGGATTGCTTGAGCTCAGGAGTTTGAGGTTGCTCTGCTATAGTGAGGCCATGGTACTCTAGCCTGGGCAACAGAGTGAGACTCTATCTCAAACAAACAAAAAATGGATTTAAAACTATTAATGTTGTGGATTAAATGTGTTAATTAAAAATAATCTCTATTTCTATTCTTATGCTTTTTTTGGTTTTTTCCTATTTCTTATATCTTCCATTATTATATTTTTATTCACTTACTCTAGAGCAGTGGTTCTCAACCTGTGGGTTGCAACCCATAGGAACTGTATTAAAGAGCCGCGGCATTAGGAAGGTTGAGAACCACTGCTCTAGAGAGTTAGGGTTCTTTTCACAGGTTTAGGATATAAATATATGTTTAGAATCAAGGATATAAGACTAGAGAGTGTCCTTCAGGGTAATTCTACTAGAGTCGGTTATCCACATATACAGGCTCCTTTTTTTAGTTCATCCTTATCCTTTATAAAAGGAATTATCTAGAATATTGGCTTCAACTAATCAGGTATGTTTTGATTTTTTGATTATGAAACTAACACTTGTTTCTGAGGAACTCACCTTTTCTTTACCATTTAATTAATGTGACCTAGTTTGTAGCTGTTTTTTCTGGGCAGGGTCTAGTATAGTTTAGTTAAATTTAAAACCTTAGATCTGTTTGGTTCAATGAGGTTATAAAATGATGGTGGTGGTGGTAGTGGTTTTTGTTTTAATTTGTCCATTATGGACCATATGAGGACTTTATATAATGCAATAATTTATGCTTATTTGCATATTTCTGGTCTATTACTCATTTTGCTAGAAAAATTAAATTATATGTTTTAATTTGCTTTAATTACATATGAATAAAAATACACATTTTAAAAAACGATTTAAAATATACATTATTAAAACTATTTAAAAAATAGAAAAAGTTCTATTCTGAAAACACAGGAAATTATACATATAAGATGGCATTTCTTCAGGTTTTATTTCTTAAAGTTTATCCTTTTTTTCTCTCTCTCTTTATAATTGTAGCAGGAAGAAGCAGAATGGAAAAGCTTAAATATGCTGTTGGTGACGCATGGCTTAAAACCTTTGTCCCTGGTCAAAAGAACAGATCTTAAAGGTAATTAAATCCTATTCTTGTTCCTGAAGGAAAGAAACTTCTTTTTCTTTTTCTTTACTTTTTTTTTTGAGACAGTCTCAAGCTGTTGCCCTGGGTAGAGTGCCTTGGTGTCACAGCTCACGGCAATCTCAAACTCTTGGGCTTAAGCGATTCTCTTGCCTCAGCCTCCCAAGGAGCTGGGACTACAGGACCGCCTACCACAACACCCAGCTATTTTTGGTTGTAGTTGTCATTGTTGTTTGGCAGGCCCAGGCTCTATTCGAACCTGCCAGCTCTGGTGTATGTGGCTGGCACCCTTGCCGCTGCCCCTTTCTTTTTCCTTTTAAAGTATTTTATCTTTAATTTTATTTTACCTTATGTTTATTTTTACTATCTGTATTATATGTTTTCAAACTGCAGAACTAATCGTTTTTGACAAACACTCATCACAAACAATGAGACAAAATTTGAAAATGTTGGTGGAAGAAACATCACGTCAGCACAACATGATACAGGAGCTCATAGAAACGAATCAGCAGCTAAAGTAAGAAAATGGGGAAGTTCTCTTTTGAATTATTTGTATACATCTTAAAAATAACTGCCTTGAAAAGCATCTTGAAATTTAATTTTCCACTTTGATTAAATGTTAAAGTTGAAAAATATTTTCAGTGGGTAAATAGGTAAAATTTTAATAGGTAAATCTTTTGTTAATAGCTTAGCCATTTGTTTAATGGTACCCTATATTTCTTCTACTAGTAAATCCAAAAATCCAAAATGTTCTAAAATTCAAGGTTTTTTGAGCTACAACATGATGCTCAAAGGAAATACTCATTGAAGTGTTTCAGATTTTCAGTTTTCAGATTTGGGATGCTTAACTGGTAAGCATGATGCAAATATTCTAAAATCTGAAATCGGAAGCACTTCTGGTCCCAAACATTTCAGCTAATGGATACTTAAGCTGTATAAAATAGAAAATTTAAGAATGCAAGGGGAATGAGGTAGTGGGTAGAGGGGAGGAAGGAGGGAGTTGGGGGTCACAGTGCATGACACCCCTTTTGGGGGTGGGACTCAAGTATAAGAGGGATTTTATCTAATAAGTGCAATAAGTCCAACCAAATTCTTTGTAGCCTCAGTGATCCCAAATGATAAAAAAAATGTCATTTCTGGTTATAAATAAATTCAATACTAGATATAAAAAGAAAAGAATACAAAGAAATTATAGAAAGTGTGTTCTTAGATGGGTATCTTTGGCCATTTGATTTATTTTTAATACTAAGGGAAGGAATTGTGTGTCTATTAAATTAGAAATGAACTTCAGTTAGAACAAAGTCGAGCAGCACATCAGGAACAACGAGCTAATGACTTGGAACAAATTGTGGAGGGTGTGAAATCCAAAATCTGTGAATTGGAGGATGAATCCCTAAGTAGGGTTTGCCAGCAACAGAACAAAATAAAGGATCTTCAAAAGGAACAGAAAGCTTTACAGGTACTGAGTTATGTATTTTCTTAGATGATGGTTAATACTAAAATAGCTCATTATAGTCTCAGGTGACTTCCATGTTGCTTAATTCAGTAGTTCTTACCTTAGTTGACCTATCATTGCTGACTTCTTGACACTCCCTTCACTTAGTTTCCAGAATATTCTGTTTCCTTCTTACCTCACTGAGACAACCCTTATGTTAAAACTTAGGTGTTTATTGTGACTAAAGGAAATGAATCTTTTGTGCTGATAACCAGTTTTAATTGTATGAGATAATTCTGATCTTTACAAACATTATATCATTGTAAATCCATATTTTAGTGGGTTTTGCTGACATAACACTGTATGTATTTATTGCATACTTGAGTTCAGGCTGCCTAAAAGGGACAAGTATTCATCAGGCAGGATCTGGAAGTCCCCTCAGTGTGTGCTGGCAGTCTTGGAAGGGTCACATGAGTTAAGTAAATTGCAGGGAGTCAGAGAGGATCTACCAGGGAATGCAGCACTAGGGTGCTCTGATGTGCAGACAGAGACAGTTGGTGCTCTGCCCTCATTTATGCTGCCAACTTGAAGCAGGCAGAGGTGGAGCTATTGGTATTGATCATAGCTTCAGAGAAGGCATTGCCATTATTTGAATGCCAAATTTGTTTTTGTTACTCATCTGTCAACAAAATCCTGTATGATTAGAACATTATAATTTTTTCCTCCTCAATAGTACATTTATAAAAACTTTCTAGGCTTGGCGCCTGTAGCTCAAGTGGCTAAGGTACCAGCCACATACAACTAAGATGGCGGGTTCGAATCCAGCCCGGCCTGCCAAAACAATGACGGCTGCAAGCAAAAAAAAAAAAAGAAAAGCCAGGCTGTGGTCCCAGCTGCTTGGGAGGCTGAGGCAGGAGACTCGCTTAAGCCCAGGAGTTGGAGGTTGCTGTGAGCTGTGATGGAACAGCACTCTACCCAAGGGGATAGCTTGAGATTCTATCTCAAAAAAAAAAAAAAATAGAAAAGAAAACTCTCTAAAGGGAATAGGATTTTGAAAATGATTCTGTTAATTTATGTGGAGGTTTGGCTTTGCTCTTAGACGTAGCCTCTGTGGAAATCCAAAACCCTTTAACTCATTGACTTACTTATGTGAGAAAGCAGCATTAAGTTATTAAAAACATAAGACACAAATTTAGGAGGGTTTTAGGCACTTCATAGAACAGATGCTTGAGGTTAGGGGTGATTTAAATGATGTACTATGTATTTTCTTTTTTCTTTCTTTTTTTTGTTTTTGAGACAGAGTCTCACTATGTCGCCTTTGGTAGAGTGCTGTGGTGTCACAGCTCACAGTAACCTCAAACTCTTGGGCGTAAGCAATTCTCTTGCCTCAGCCTCCTTTCTCTTGCCTCAGCTGGGACTACAGGCTCCTGCCACAATGCCCAGCTATTTTCTTGTTGCAGTTGTCATTGTTGTTCAGCTGGCCCAGGTTGGGTTCAAACCCACCAGCTTCGGTGCATGTGGCTGGCATTAGAACCACTGTGCTACGGGTGGTGAGCTACTGCTATGTATTTTCTATCAAATAGTTTCATCTGTCATAAATGATCTATGGTACTATTAATTAATTCTTTGTACTCATACCCAGGACAGTGTCAGAATTCCAGTTTCTTCATATCCTCATCAACATTTGGTATTGGTTACCTTCATTTTGTTGAGTATTTTCACTGGGTATAAAATTATAAGTTGGTAATTATTTTCTTTTAGCATTTGAAAGTATAATTCCATTGTCTCTTGGATTCCATTGTTTCTGATGAGAATTCAGTTGCCAATCCATTTGTGACTCCTTTGAAGGCAGTCTACTTTTCCTTTGGCTGCCTTTAATATTTTTCTCTTTGCTTTTGTTTTAAAACCATTTTATTTTGTGTCTTGGCAAGTTTTCATTTGATTTATCTTCCTTGGATTTTATAGCACTTATTGATGGCTTGATGACTGTCATCAATTTTGGCAAATTCTTAACTGTCTTCAAATATTGCTTCTGTTCCATTCTTTCTTTTCAGTTTTTCCAGGATTCCAGTTGTTAGTATTTATCCTTGAATCTACTTATGTCTTTTATGTTTTTTCTTTGTTTATTGTCACCCTTTTGCCTTTTATCCTGAATAATTTTTTAAAATTATTTTTAGTTTTAGGATTTCTGTTTTATTCCTTGCTTTGGTTTCTAGTTTTATTCTGTAATTCTGCTTTGTATCTTTTTGAACCTATTAAATTTACTTACTTTAAAATTTCTGTCTGGTTTTGGAACAAGGTAGAGGTGGTAGTTGCACACAACTTTTGAGAATGTCCTAAATGTCACTGAATTATTCACTTTAAAGTAATAAAAGGCAAAAAGATGGTTAATTATATGTCATGTTAATTTTACCCCAATTAAAAAAAAATTGTCTGTCTGATAATTTAATTACCTCTCAGTGGATTGGTCTTTATAGTCTATTGTTTCTTTGGTTCCATCCATGCTATCTTGACTGTTAGTGTGCCTAGTTATTTTTATTGCATTCTAAGCTTTGTATAGGAACCACTATAGAATAAACTGAGGCCTAATGTGATGTTATTTTGTCCTAATGATGATCATATTTGCTCTGGTAGACATTTAGGTGCGGTGCACTAATACCCTGGGATCATCTTAATACAGATTGAAAGATTATGATTAGATAGATAATCTTCAGTCCTATAAAGAGCTAGTCTATATCTAAGAAATACTCTCTCACATTCAATTTTTTGAAATAGTTTAAGTTTAAATAGTTCTTCTTTAAATGTTTAGTATAATTCAGCAATTAATCCATCATCTCCTGGGTTTCTCTGATAGGAGACATTATTAATGCTTCAATTAGATTACTTAATTTAGGTATGTTCAGGTTTTCCATTTCTTTATGGTTCAATCTTAGTAGGATATATTTGCATAGGAATTTATCCATTTATTCCAGATTTTCCAACTTATTGGTATATATCATTTTAATAGTCTCTAATAGTTCATTTTTAAAATTTTTTTATTAGATCATAACTACATACATTACTGTATTTATGGGGTACAACGTGCTGATTTTATATACCATTTGGAATGCTTACATCAAACTGGTTAACATATTATTCACCTTTTTCCTTTTCTTTTTTCTTTTTTCTTTTTGAGCCAGCATCTTATTCTGTTTCCCAGGCTAGCATGCCATGATGTCAGCCTAGCTCACAGCAATCTCGAATTCCTGGGCTCAAGCAATCCTCCTGTCTCAGCCTCCTGAGTAGCTAGCACTACAGGTGTCTGTCACAATACACAGCTAATTTTTCTATTTTCAGTAGAGACAGGGTCTCACTTTTCCTTAGACTGATAAGTGATCCTCCCATCTCAGCCTCCCAGAATGTTAGGAATATAGGCATGAGCGACTCTGCCCAGCCAGTTCATTGCATTATATTTCTATAGTATCGTTTGTTTCCTCTTTCACTTCTGATTTTATCTGAGTCTTCGCTCTCTCTCTCGTTTTTTAGTCTAGCTAAAGGGCTGTCAGTTTTCTTTTTATCTTTTCGAAAACTTTTTATTCATTGATCTTTTATATCTTTTAGTCTTAATTTCATTTATTTCTGCTTTGATCTTTTTAGTTTGTTTCCTTCCACTAATTTTAGTTTTGATTTATTCTTGCATTTCTGGTTCTTCAAGTTTAATCACTTATTTGAAGTCTGCCTACTGGTACTTTTTTATTAATTGCAGATTAATATGAGGATACAAATGATTAAATTACAGGCTGGGTATGGTGGCTCACACCTGTAATCCAGCACTCTGGGAGGTCGAGGCAGGTGGATTGCTTGAACTCACAAATTTGAGACCAGCCTGAGCAAAAGTGAGACTCCGTCTGTACTAAAAGTAGAAAATCTGACGCAAAAGGATCACTTAAGCCCAAGAGTTTGAGGTTGCTATGAGCTGTGATGCCACGGCACTCTACCCAGGGAGACAGCTTGCTTGAGACTCTGTCTCAAGAACAAAAAAAGATCAGATTACATTATTTGCATTTGTTAGGTAAAGTCCAAGTTGTAGTTGAGCCCTTTACTCAGAAGGTGTGTCATGTACCATTTCATAGTACCTGTTAGGTTAGAGCTCATCAACCCCCTCTCTTTCCTTCCATTTCTCCCTTCCCTGTCTTCCTACTTTTTGGTATAGGTGTATATTGCTATAAATTTCCCTTTTATTACTGTTTTTCTATATCTGATGGATTTGGGTATGTTGTATTTTCATTTTGCTTTATTTCCAGAAGTTCTTAAATTTCTTTTTAGTTTCATCATTGATCCATTGATCATTTAAGATAATGTTTATTTCTATGTGTTTGTGTAGTTTCCAAAGATTTTCATAGTATTGATTTCTAGTTTTATTCCATTATGCTCATAAAAGATATTTGATATGATTGACTCTTTTGAGTTTGTTCTGTGGCTAAGATATGGTCTGTTTTGGAGGATGTTTCATGTGCTGATAAGAAGAGAGAAGAATGTGTACAAGATCAAACAGTTACATCTGTCTATCCCTTGGCTATCTGGTGACCATAGTGATATTCAGCAATGAAGTATGTAGCACTTTTTCTAGGATGAGTTTGTGAACTTAATTGTCTGATCTCATATTCTGCAGCAGTGGGGTGAAATGTTCTATAAGTCTCAGGTCCATTAGGGTGAGTGTGTAGTTTAACTCCAATGTTTCCTTGTTGATTTTCTATCTGGATTTTCTATTTCTGAATAGGATTTTGAAGTCAACTGCTATTAATGTTGCAGAGTATACAGAGTATCACTCTGTTGCCCTGACTAGGTGCCATGTCATCAGCCTATCTCACAGCAACCTCAAACTCCTGGGTTCAAGCGATCCTCCTGCCTCAGCCTCCTGAGTAGCCAGAACTATAGATGTCCACCACAACACCCAGCTCGTTTTCCTATTTTTAGTAGAGATGGTCTTGTTCTTGCTCAGGCTGGTCTCAAACTCCTGACCTCATGCAATCTTCCCACCTCAG